CGGGACGCCGGAAGCCACAGCCACTCGGTCTTGGAAGGGTTGAGTCGGAGCCTGTTTCTCCCCATCCAGGCCCGCATGGCCTCCAGGCACCGGGACATCACTTCAAGGGCATCGTTGGGGTGGCCTGGGGTGGAGGTGTACAGCTGAGTATCATCAGAGTACTGATGGAACTCCACCTCAAAGCCACGGATGATCTCACCCAGCGGCTTCACATAAATGTTGAACAGAAGGGGCGAGAGGACCGACCCTTGCGGCACCCCACAGACAAGGCGCCTCGGGGTCGACCGCTGCCCCCTGCCAACACAGATTGCGACCGGTCAGAGAGGTAGGAGGAGAACCACCGCAAAACGGTGCCCCCCACTCCCAACCCCTCCAGCCGGCGCAACATGATACCATGGTCGATGGTATCAAAAGCCGCTGAGAGATCTAACAGGACCAGGATAGAGGACCAATCCCGACCTATCCCGAGCCCTCCAGAGATCATCCGCCAACGTGACCAATGCCGTTTCCGTGCTGTACCCAGGCCTGAAACCGGACTGCAGCGGATCTAGATAGACAGCTTCATCCAGGTACTGTGGAAGCTGCTGTGCCACCACACTCTCAACAACCTTCGCAATAAAACGAAGGTTGGAGACTGGACGATAGTTAGCCAAAACAGCCGGATCCAGAGAGGACTTCTTCAGGAGGGGCCTCACCACCGCCTCTTTCAAGGCGGCCGGCAGAACACCCTCGCTCAAGGAAGCGTTAATAATCCTCTGGAGCCAGCCTCGTGTAACCTCCCGGGAAGCCAGCACCAACCAGGAGGGACACGGGTCCAATAAACATGTGGTCGCGTTCAGCTGTCCCAGAATCCTGTCCACATCATCAGGAGCCACAGGATCGAACTCCTCCCAGATAACACTCTCAAGACCTGCCTCAGTCATCCCGTCTGGACTTACCCAGTCAGAGGCCAGGCCTTCCCGAATCAGAGCGATCTTGTCATGCAGATACTGCACAAAATCCTCAGCTCGACCCTGAAAATGTCTTTGAAAATGTTTTGCTTCTGATTCAAGAAGCATCCTTTTCAATAAAGCACCTTTGGGACAACCATGACTTGGCTGATTAAGAATCTCCATAGACCCTTCTTTCACAACAAGTGAATACTGGCAAGAAAATTTAAATCAATTATATTTAACTAACATGATTGACTTCATTATTTGTTATTTCAGGAAGCTCAAAAGAACTAGCCCAAAGTCAGACCTGTTTCACACAATAAAGGAATTATTTACTCCTCCATGAAGAAATATCTTCCTAGAGCATGTAAAGATATGTTTACATCTAGATGAGCTAGAAATAAATAACATAAAATAAATAAATAGAGAACATATTTTGGTCTCCAATATTGTGGTAGCACCAGAATCTGTCTTTGAGCAAAGGGGTTGAGACAGCTAAAGTCCATCTATGCCTGCTTATCAGCAAACATGACCCTCAATGACAGCCTATAACAAAAAAAGGCATAAAATTAACTTCCTTCCAAAACTTGGTACAGTCAGTCCACGATTTACAACCACAATGTAGTCCAAAATATCTGTTACTCAGTGAGACAGATGTTAAATGCGTTTTGCCCCATTTTATTACCCTTCTTTAGTTCACTTCACACAGTTAAGTGAATCAACACAGCTGTTGTTAGTAACACGGTTGTTAAGTGAATCTGGCTTCCTCATTGTCTTTGCTTGTCAGAAGGATGCAAAAGGTGATCACATGATCCCGGGACACTGCAATGGCCATAAATATGAGTCAGTGGCCAATTATGATCATGTGACCACAAGGATGTTGCATAAATGTGAAAACGGTCATAAGTCACTTTTCTCGGTGTCGTAACTTCGAATGGTCACTAAATGGTTGTAAGTCGAGGACTACTTGTATTCCACTTGCCTTTCTTTCTTAAAAACAGAATAAGGTTTGTATCTACCACACCTACATACCCCACTCCTTCCCTTGCTCTCCTTTAAAGCAAAGGGGAGCCAGGGGTTCTCATGCCGGTTTCAAAACAGGCCAAGGTGAAATACCATCAAACAATCAGCTGTCATTCAATATCCTTGGCCTCTTTAAAGAGCGCTTTCCTTCTCTAACAATCGTTTCATGAACTAGGCTCCTGCCCTGCCCTGTCTGGAAAAACAAAAACAAATGAAAGACCAAGCTAGAGTTCTTCCGCCTTCCCTCGCCCCTTCTGGGTCTCCAGAAAGAGAAAGATTAATCTACATAATGCTGAACTGAATCGCTTTAATTCCAGTCAGCTTTTATCATTCAATCACCGAGACCACATGTGGAAAAATTCATGCTAATTCCCCTTAGCAACAGGGGCAGCCAATCGGGAGGCTCCATGCACCATGCAGCTGGCAGCCAGGATCACTCAAAGTAGGTCAGGCCTGTATTTCTAAAAATGCCACGGTCTAGTAACCCCACTGTCCCGTCTGTCAGCCCTGCCCCATAATAACCTCAATTGCTTGGCGACACAATGACATACTGCCCTGTTAAAGAGCCATCAAATCAGGCTCCTGCATTATTTTTTACTGCAAGCCCGGCTCTTGGATGGAACAGGCTTTGCAGGCTAGCATTAATCACGCAGCCCTTTGCGTCCACTTCCATTTTGCTCGGGCAATGGATTCGACATTAATGACCAGCTGCTCGGGCTCCCGCACACAAACCCAATGAAATCTTTCTACCCAGTTGGGTGCACAAAATAACAGCATCCTGGAGTCAGGCAGGCCCAAATCCAAAAGGGCAAGAGTGGAGAATGTGGGCTTTTGTGACTCTTCAAATAATGAAAGGATCCTTAAAACCGCCTGCAGGATGAGACAATCGGAGCAATTGGCTGCATGCAACACACAGCCTTCTCCCCCCAAGAAATGTGAACGTTCCCAGCCCATGGGAACGTTCCCAACACATGTTTGCACAATGCAGTTTATTTTAAGCATATTATTAAGGAGAGCCAAATAAACAAAGAGCTGAACTGAGGCTGACTTTTTTGCAGGGAATCTGGGAAACTAGAAGAGGCTCGGAGCAATTTGGGCAGCCCAGAACAGGAAAGAAACACAAACCACACGCTGCAAAGGCTTGCAGAGGAAAATCAGGAAGGGCTGTGTGAAAGGTGTGTGGAAAAGGCCAGTTGCGAATTAGACACCTCCTACGTCCTCATCACTCACTGCCTGTCCGCAGCAGGACTGCAAATGCAGGTCTAAAATAGTACTGTTAACATCCTTGTAAAGCTCGAGTATTGCAATGTTCCCAAGAAAGCTTTGGAGGATTTGCTGTGGATTTAAAATGCTTTGCTGCAATTCACAACTCTGACCTTCCTCTTCCCCTCTTTGGTGAAACAGAAAAGACTGATTGGAAGTCAAATCACATACCAAAGAGTATAGCTAAACAGCAGCCAAGTTCCAAACAGTAAATTTGTAAGGTAGTTCAGTCTTTTTATTTTTCTTTTCAGTTTAAACAGCACCTTTTGTATTTTTCTTTTTCAATTGTGATACATTCATGACATCCAACTACGTGGGTGAGCTAAACCAGCTAGGGCTATAAGGCAAAGGTATTAGTTAGCAGTGATCAGTCTGCACATTTCCACCCACATTTCTCCAACCTCTGTGGATAACTTCACACTCAACTGCAGAACTCAACAACCCTCACAATGTATCTTGAATTTTATGGACAAAACACATTCATTAATCCATTTGCTCTTGTTTAAGCCAAGCTTGATAACCAGGTTATGCCTATCTTCTTCGTTCTGGGGAACACATCATAGTTATTCTTGGAAAGATACGGTCACTGATGTAACCACCGGACTGCTAATTACAAGCTGCTGACATTTTGCTGGTCTGTGCAGCTCTGTATGAATTATAAGTGTCCCTCCTCCCTTCCCTTCCCCACCCGCACATCTTCCTTTAAAATGCCCAAGGCTGAGCTGTTATTGAAAAAGAAGGGTAGCAAGGCTGCAGGAGAAAATACATTTTCCTAATTATCTTTCTTCCTTTAAGAGCAGAAAGCAGAAGTCAACCACTGGCTAAACTATCATGGAGCAGAAAGTGATTTCTGCAGTAACAAATCATGCAAAGGACAGGCAAGCTCATTCCAGAATGGCTTACATGGCTACAGAGAAATCTTGCTGGAAATGACACATTCAGAACAATTTAGGGCTGCTGGATTTAAAAACACAGCTGTGCATGCTTGCATGTGCCAAAGAGGCAGCCACTGACATTTCTGCCAAGTTTCCCCTATTTATCTGAGCTTCTAGATGAAGCTTCTAGCCTAAGTTTCTTTCATTTAATTTGGGCCGTTACCACAGGTATATCTTCCTGAATGACCTGGCAGGAGCTGTATTGTATTGTATATTTATATATCTCTGCTTAAAAGGAGACGTGACTCCATTTCACCACTACTCTGCTACACCAGAAATAAAACTTAGCAGTATACATTGTAGAGCACTCTCTTGCCAAAACTGAGCACTGTGCTTTTTTTCAGTGGGATTCTCCCCTCCCTTTAAAACAAATTACAGGCTGACTTTGAAATGCATTAAAAATGTAAATACATTACTGATTTCATCTCGGTTGAATACTAAGCCCAGTTGCCAGCTGGGCTACAAAAGTCATCTGGGATAATTTATTTTGATTAGACTGACCACACTTATATTTACAGTATGTTTTTCTTTTTACTAGACTAAGTACAGCTGTGTTTATAAAGAGTTTAAGGATGGGGGGGAGCCCAACATCCCTCCCTAAATCATACAAAAAATTCAAGACTTATAGGTGTAAGACACACATACATACACACAGAGAAAGCAAGAGAGAGACTTTACAGAATCCTGTGTGCAGAAATGTCTCGCAACTCCTATTTTTTGAAAAACATATATACCGGAGGCAATTGAACATAGACCCCCTTAGCCAAGCGTCTTCCAGCAGTCCGAATATCTCCCAAGCATTCCCAAATCAGAAAGCTCAATTCACAATGTACAAATACAGACATACATTGATTCTGCACACTTCTCTTTTCCCCCACAAGGCGTTTGTGTCTTTGCAGCCACATACACCTTTCGTTTCCTCTGTAACAGCATTAGGGAGTGTTCGGTCTACAATTTCAAGTCCCTGTCTCCAGGCACATTTCCGTAAATTATGCTATCACCATTGCTGGAATAAGCAGACACCAAAGAGGACAATCAGACGGCATGCAGCTCTCCGTCTTCCTTGCCACTTGCTGGCTTCCACTCCTTTTTTCCCATGGCTGTGCTCTGACAGGCACACATACAAGGCACTTCATTTATCCATCTTCAGCACAGCTCTCCTCTGAGGTGAAACTGCATCACCAAGGCTTTCCCCATAATAATCCAAATAGCAGTGGTTGAATTCTTCCTCTGGACGCATAACGTTCCGTTCATGCTGCATTGCTGCCAATGCCCTCCCTATATGTATCGGATTAGCTGGCACGGCATTTCTTTAAATGTTTGCTCCCCAAACCTTTAACTCGCATTTTCACCGTTCAGGGAGGGGAAAAGTAAACCTTGCATCCCCCATTTCTTCGCCTCCAGCAGCAATAACAGAATGCAGTGCCCAGATTTCATCGTGTGTCTTTCCCTTTGCGTGCTGATGAGTGATGCTCTCCTGAAACAAGCCGGGCTGAAATGCAAGCAGGCAGGCAGGCAGGCAGGCAGGCAACAGCAACCCCAGCAGCAGCAGCAACAGCCACCCAGGTAAATGGGGGAAGCAGGATATGCCAAAAGTGGTGCAGCGTCATCACTCCGAGAGAAGACGAAATCGCTCCTTTCCAACAGCATGGCTCAAATCCTGCAGGAAGGAAAAAGCAGGAGTGCCCCCCCCACACATATCCCCTCTAAAACAGAGGATTAAAGCAAAACCACTGCAAAATCAAGGCACTAATAAATAAAACTTTTTTTTATTTCTGTCATTTGGGATTGCGACTGCCTATGTTGCTGAACGCAACTGTCCAGAAATGCGGAATCACCCAACCTCTTGTTTCAAACTGCCAGAGAGAGCCAGTGTCACATGAGAACCGCATGATGCAGCACTGAAGTGGCCAAACGCACGTTCGGGGAAAGCAGCATCCACAGATAACGAGACCACAACTGCTCCTCTGCAGCAGCCCTAGAGAAACGGTCCCCTTAAAAGGGCTCGACAGGGACCTACTACACCTCTGCACATACTACATTGCCTGTGTGCCTATGGTTGTGCATGCGACTGCTGAAGGGAAGGCTGCTGGGGATGCTGTTCCACAGACACAAGCTGGATGGCAGAATATTACTTCTTGGCTGCAGTGCTCAAAGCCGATTCCACTTCAATGAATTCCTGAAAAGCCTGCTCCGAACTGGAGAGGATGAAATGAAATCCTCCATATACCATTAGTTCTCCGGCAATCTCCATTTGGCCTGCCTTCTGAATAATTTACCTTTGACAAATAAGAAGCTCACTTAGCCTTTTCCTGTCCCCTGTTACCACTGCATGCTGAAGCCATTACAGAAAGAAGACTTCTCTTGCTGCAATCACAAAAAGAGAGAAAGAGAGAGAGAGAGAGAGAGAGAGAGAAAGCATTAATCATGTTATCCAAGTGCTGGGTTTAATAGAAGCTCTGCACATGGCTCAAATCTTTAATGCAAGGCACTTCTCTGTTATTGGGCACAAAGGCAGCGCTTTTTCCTATGTGTTCATACACAGACAAGTGGGAAATTCTCTTTCTCTCCCACTATCGTACCTATGTATGTGGAAATGTGTGCATGAGATTATGATTTCTTTCTTCAACTCAAGAGGGGAAGAAAAATACTTTTATCACGCCTCTACCTGAGAAGAGGTTGTCTATTATGCATTCCATAAACTGCCACCTGAAATCCTGGGAATTTTCTGTAAATTCATGTAGGCAATGAGTACTTAGCTAGCAAAAAAACCAAAAACAAAACCCCCACCATGCTAGCATAACTGTATTACAGATATTCTTTTGACTTATGCCTGTAATTGAACCCGGAATTACAGTCGTAAGACATTGCCATCGTAATTTTAGGCATTACATAACTGGACTTGATTTTTTCATCATTTTCTGTCAATAAGTGAATACTGTGGTGGTTAAGGGAATGACATAGCTGTTCAACAAATCAATTTTCCCCAATGAGCTTTTTTTTTTTTTTTTGCCAGAAACCAGAAGTAAACCCTGGAAAAGGACTAAAAAAAAAAAGGCACAAGTTGCAGTCATGTGATTGTGAGACACTGCAAATGGCTGTAAAGGTGAGTCAGTTGCCAAGTGTCCAAAATGCCATCACTTGACTGTGGAGATGGAGGGAATATGTTGTAACTTCAAAGTCAGTTTGTAAGTAGCTTTCAGGGAGTTTGTTGTAATTTCAGATGGTCCTTAAAGTGACCAGTTGTACGTCGAAGAATATATGTATTATGTAAAATATTTTATGTAATCTTTAGGTTGTTTGTTAATCTGAGATGCTGTATCTACCGTGCCATTTTCCATTTCTCCAAGGAATGTAACTGGATGTTATGCTTTGGGTAGTACTCTGATGCAAACTGCTTTTTATTCATATCAGCACTCAGTAACTTGCAATAAAGAAGGAGAAGAGGGAAGCACCCAATGCAGGAAATGCTTCCTTTCATGGCTTCTTAAAGCAATGTGAATTGGCCCAGTCCTCTGAGAACTAAAAAACCTCTTCACAAATATAGTGATAGCCTCCAACACAGGCAAAAATGAACAATGAGGAAGAGTTTAAATTTTAAGAGTATAAGTCAATATACTTATACCGGCTTCTATTGTTGAGACGGTATGAGTTTCCATATTTATTAAGGTGTGTGCATTGGGGCTGGAGTGGAGCAATCAAATGGTGATAATAATGTAGGAGTATCAGATTTTGTCTGCAGATCTGGTACCTAAATCACTACTATGTGAACCCACCCAGGAATGCTTCATAAAGCCTCTGAGAAAGTAAGCCCAATAAAATATCTTCCATACATGAACATACATGCTGTAATGTTCCCAGTGTCTGCTCTTCCCAAAGAGTTATAGTTATTCCTATTTTTCCTCTAGATGCTGAATTAAGCCAAACTATTATTCATTGGATTCTTTTCCACAGTTACACTCTTTTAAAATGTTTATAACATCCTCATCTATGAAATTCCTTACGTATTTTACAGTATAAATAATTATACACTGCATGTATTTTCAGGGGCAAAAGTACAGCTTTTATCATACTGGCCTTGCTGTAAACGAGCCAGACATGTTTTATGGTGGTCTGAATATTTAATTCCCATTCTTTTTCTGAATTGAGGTCTTGTTTATTACAATTCAGGCCATTCCCCCTTGTAACACTTGGATGCCTGCCATGCACTATTTGTTTACAGTCACAAGCACGGAAAAATGGGCTTCCCGACTGTACTCCCAAAGTCGAAGGTGAAGTGTCTGGCAGGTGTGAAAAAAATGCAGCTCCTTTAGTTGAAACTATGCAATGTGTTCCATATAAGGCCCCTGTCCTAAACTAACAAAAGAAAATTGGGTTGTTGCCCAAGGTAAAATATTAACACTTTGTTGGGTTGTTGCTAATGGTGCTAAACCAGTGCTCCTAAAGAAATGTACTTGGCTTAGTTTTTGCTTTACAATTTTCTGCAGGAGCAAGTAGAATTCATCAAGGGAACTAAAGTCTGCAAACCTTACATTTAAATCCTGTGAAGCCTTTTCTTCAACATTTCTTTTTGGACTTTAAATGACAATTTAATGTACTTAAGGAAATGGCTGGTGGCTAATATACTTATCAGTCAGAGCTTGAAATCATGAGAAATGGTAGAGACAGAACAATTAAACTATTGCAGGAGTCTATGGGCCCTCATCCAACTGTATTATCAGTTGTCATTGGGGCAGGGGTGAAATCCTCCCGGTTTGCACCGGATCGGGCGATCTGGTAGCGATCGTGCCAGGTGATTCAGTGATCCGGTAGCGATGGCGGAGCAAAGCTCCGCCCACCCACCTGGGCGTTTTAACCAGGAAGTAATGTGTTCTTTACCTTCTGCACATGCGCAGAAGGTTTTGCGCATGCACAGAAGGTCTGTGTGTGCATGTGATGAACTGGTGCATGCGCGGCACGTGCACTTCTGAACCGGTAAGGAAGGTAAGTAAATTTCACTCCTGCATTGGGGTGACAGTGTGATCTCCATTTCACCTAAGTTTTCTTTTTCACCTTTTTAGATTACTAATCTTTAGTATTTTAGATCAGGGGTCCCCAACGCCTGGGGCGTGGTCTAGTACCGGGCTGCAGCCCATTCGGAACTGGGCTGTTCAAGTGGCAGGTGTGCACGCATAGCTCCATTTACACAAGTGACACGTGTATGCACCAGGGGTGAAATGTAAAATTTGTTACTACCGGTTCTGTGGGCATGGCTTGGTGGTGGGGGTAATGTGACTGGGGTGGGCGTGGCCAACTTTTTTTTTTAAAACTTTTCAAAGCATTTTTTCTAATGCTTTGAAAAGCCTCTGCCGATCAGGCAACTCAGCTGGGATCGTCAGAGAGACTTTTTTAAAAATGCCTCTCTGCCGATCAGGCAACTCAGCTGGGATCATCAGAGACTTTTCAAAGCATTTTTTTTACCACCTCTTCGGCCAAGAGGTTGCAGAAAAAAATGCTTTGAAAAGCCTCTGACAATCCCAGCTGAGCCGCGCGATCATCAGAGACTTTTTTTTACACTTTTAAAAGCATTTTTTTGTCGGAAGAGGTTGTAGAAAAAATGCTTTTAAAAGTAAAAAAAAAAAGCCTCTGATGATCATGCGGCTCAGCGGGCATGGTGGGGGTGGGACAGCGCAGGGATTTTTGCTACCGGTTCTCCGAACCACCTGCCGCTATCGCTACCAGATCGAGCATTTCACCCCTGGTATGGACCATTTGTGCTGAACCATCCCCTCTCTCCCCACCCCTGGGCCACAAAGCTGAAAAGACCACTCCTTTATATCCCAGTCCTTGAGAAATGTATATTTTTGAGTGTGTAAAAATTTATAAAATTGGAAATGGTTATAGCTGAGGCATGTGCATGTGTACACACATGCATGTGTGCATGTACTGTATATGTATCTCCACTATAATCATTTCTACTTTTGCATAAATGACAATATGGAAGTCATCCAGAAGACAGCGGTGCAGACAGTGATTGAGACACGTTAAAGGCATGTGATCTCACTGTTTGGTGAGTTGCACTGCTGCCAGTTGACTTCTGGGTACAGTTAAAGAAGCTGATTTTTATCTATACAGCTTTTCATGGCAAAAGGCTTGACTGTCTGAGGGATGACTTATCTCCAGTTGCCTTTGCCCCATGCGGAAAATTTGAGCTGAGTGGGTCCATTCCGAATGTCAATTCCTGTCTCCTGAAATAATCTTTGCTCCTCCTCTTCTCAAGATTTACAGAATGTAGCTCCCAATCTTATGTCAATCAGGACATTCCTGAAGACATGATTGTTCTTCCGGATTTTGGAGACAGTGAATTGTGGAGTCTCTCGTTTGTTGTGTTATGTTTTGCTTCCGGTTTGTTGTATTTTTAATTGTAATTGCCCAGAGTTGTTTGGGAGTCCAGAGGGCTATAAACTAAACCTAAAAGCTAAACCTAAAATAATACTAACACAAAACTAATATTGGTTGGGGGAGGTTGACTGGCCCAAAGACACCTTGTCAACTTTCATGAATGAATGAATGAACGAACAAACAAATAAATATAATGGTAAGCTATTGATGTGCCTAAAAAAACCAAATTATTTATAGTATAAGACCAAATGTTATAACCCTTGTTTGTAGGATAAATGATCCCTCAATGTTGCATATACAAGAATAACGCTGCATCATACCAAGCGCCTATACATCCCAGTAAGTCAAAGTCCACAAGCAAGATATGACAATAAAGTCCTTCTTCTCAAGTATACTAGGAATTGATCCTGTATATTTCATGTGAGATGGGAGGTACAGGTAATCCTCAACTTACAACCATTTATTTAGTGACCATTCAAAATTACAGCGGCAGTGAAAAAAGTGACTTATGACCATTTTTCACAAATATGACCATTGTAATATCCCCATGATCACATGATTGAAATTCAGATGTTTGGAAACTGGTTTGTATTTATGATAGTTGCAGTGTCCCACGGTTACGTGATTATTTTTTTTGACACCTTTTGATACGCAAAGTCAAATTCACTTAACAACTTTGTTACTAATTTAACAACTGCAGTGATTCACTTAACAACTCTGGCAAGAAAGTTGGGAGCAAACGAAAATGGGGCAAAACTCACTTAACAACTGTCTTGCTTAGCAAAAGAAATTTTAGCAATCCGTTGTGACTATATGTTGAAGACTATCTCTATAACATATAGCTATCGTTATTTTAGCCATCCTTTATATTCTATATTTCTAATTTATATTATTATATATAATTTATTTTACATACCTGGTATATCAAAATAAAACATTATAACAAAATAATGATTTAAAAAGAACCTCGTAAGCCAGTGGTTCTC